TAATATACATTAATTTAGAGCAAATATTTATTCCTATTTTTTATGCTTGTATAATCATATTGCTCATTATTAAACTTAATGATATAGCTAAAAACTATATAAACCATGTCACTCATCTATATTAACCATTAACACTAGTTTTGCCGTTTCAAGATATTTTTTATTCAAAGAAATAATTAATTAAAATAAGATATCAACGAATTATTTACTAGTTCATGTTTTAATTTTATTGCAATACACGAAGCTCCAAGTGATTTAGTTAGGAGTAATAATATGCTTCTAAAATCAAGATGAAGCCAACAGAGCTGCAGAGATGCTTAAAAATGGTGTTTTACAAGTCAAAGTTGCCAATATTTTTAATGTTTCGCAAAGTGTTATTTCTAGACTTGCGTGTAGATTTCGGAACACCAAAATGTAGCTAAACGACAAAGAACAGGTCGGCTTAGAATTACCATTTGACATGACCGATAGGTTACACTAACTGTGAGAAGTGAGCCTTTTTTACTGCATTAACATGTAATGATGTCGGATGCCATTAATACCCTTGTTTCTACTCGAACTATTACAATATGTTTAAAAACGTTTGATTTGGGATTTAGAGAAATATCTCATCCTTTGAGAGGTATACTATTGACCTTACAATATCGGCATTAAAGTTTAGATTGGGCTAGAACACATTTAAATTGGGAGTTGTGAATGACATTCAGTATTGTTCACAGACAAGTCCAGATTTTGCCGATTTTCAGATATTCTTCGAGTATGTGTTTGGATAAGACCAAAGGTACCAAGAAATCAAAGACGTGTCAGATGGTTGATCCATTTGAAGGTGGTGCTATCGTTTGGGGTGGAATCTGTTACGGTGGAAGGGTTAGAGATCATGTACCCCTGCGCAGACCCTTCAGCAATGTTTACCACCGCTATGGGAGAAATTGCTTAAGAATCTCCTGATAATTTAGTTAATAGTTTATCACGTATAAGTCAAGCAATAATTGATACCAATTGTGGATATATGACTTATTAGGGCACAATGTCTATTAACGCATTTTTTTATTTTTTGATGGATAATTATTCTTTTTAAATAAATTTTGGAGGGAATATTTTTTTGTAAATAATTATAAAATATTTAATTTAAGGGGATTCGAGGCTTGGTCTTCATGAGGGTACCATGGCACCATGCCAGCGAACAAGTTTGAGCAAACAATATTAAGCTTATTTCAAATGATCTTAAGCATCCTTATAGAAAAGTACTTTTTAGTGTTTATTATATTGAAATTATTGAAGTTTACCGTTATTTGTGAAGAAAAAGTTTTTTAGTGTTGCAGCATTGCTTAGAGTAAGACGAGCTGCAACACTATCAGATGCGCTGGAAGATGCGCACGAGTATGCAAGCCAATAAATAGAAAAAGAAGAAGATATTTAATTTAAAAAATAATAATAATTGAATTTACAAGTTGTTTATAGTTAATATACAATATCGCTAACTTATGCCGTGCTGTATATCTTCGTTACATATAAGTTTTTAGTTAATAAAAACTACGATTTTAACATGCTTAAATATTCTTTAGGTTATTGCAGATCTATAAGTATTAAACTAAAACAATGTTTTGACAGAAATGACAACTAAAATCATAACATCACACGAGTTGGTTTCTAAAATAATAATTGCATTTAAAAACCGGATAAAAAAATTCGCCTTTGAGATCTGCATTTACCATTCTTTGTACCATTTTTCAAAGTAAAAACACTTGCACGTCACGATTTATACAAAGTGACGTTACTTGTATTTAAAATTTCCAGAACATCAACCTTAGAGTTCAAATTTTCCTAACGCAGCTAAAAATACGAAACCCATACGGAACTGCTCGATCTTTCATAGACGTCAACATAGTGTAATAATAACAAAAATGTAATCATCGCTATATTGGAAATTTTAGAATTATATTGATTAAATAACCAAAAAGATTTGTTATTATTAATAATATAAATTTTATGAAATAACTCTTTAAGTCTAATATTCCAGAAGATAATAATTTTAATTAAATATATTAGACAATTGTACGCAACTGGTACGGAAATACTTCAAATTCTTTTGACAGTTCAGTGTGTGGAAAAAATGTATAAAGTGTCGCCGCTTTTTCAGGGTAGAAGTTTTGTTTGATTTCTTACACAATTTGATCATAATATAATACACTTCATCTAATTTACATACCGATGCATGTCATCGGCGTCATAGCCCGTGACGCCACATGATACCAACACGAAATATTTAGGCGGTAGGTGTGTTCTTTTTTAGAATCACTTTGTCGAGTACACTGGCATTACAGCCACTAGACATATTTTCTTATGTAAGCGTAGAAATAATATTTAAAGATTTCTATTAATGTTAACTTAAATAAATACACACTAATATGTTTAATTTAATTTGTATAAATGCATTATAAAGCATTTTTATGAAGAACATTTGTTCGGAACACACGGTAACTGTAATCGAACGAAGGTGAAATTTTAGCATAAATTGGTAACACTTATTTGACAGTTGCAGTGTTGACACTTTTTGTACTTTATTATTTTGAATTTTAAAGTGAATACCTCTTGTTTTATATTTTTAGCTATTTAATAAAATCTCTTCTTATTAAAACAAAATCGGTATGTTTTAGTTTAAAAATGGCACGTAAGAATTTAAATAGTCGTTGTAAAGAGATGGTAATACATTAGCAATAATTATGTGATCTATTTGATTTAAAATGGAGTCAAGATTTTTTATACTTTGGCAACTATGCCAACTTCGATCTCTGACGTAGATAATGACGCGCATCGGTAAGTAAATTAGATGAAGTATATATATTATTAAATTATATTTATAAATACAATTTAACGTCTTTAGCGTCTTTGGAACTAGTAATTCTAAAGAAACTCAGCTGCACAGATTTAACGCTCAACGTTGTAACCATTTAAAAACTTACTGAGAACTGTAACAACCTGATAGAATATTTCTTCACAATTATTGGTTTAACTTGTAGCGACTACATGTTGGGAAATATTTTCTTTGTTCAACAAATATCTTATTAGAAACGTTAAGATTGTTAAATTATTATAGAAAAATTGATTTATTTACTATTAATCTAGATATTTCTTGCATTATCTTGAATTAGAAATTTTCTATCTATCTCTGACAGGAAACCAAACATTCCTTTGTATTTTTTAGTCATGCTTTGATTTTAATTGCAATAACTTTACAAGTTGCAATAGCATTTTCTTTAAAAACTCTGATCTACAATCGACAACTATGCATTCTAAGGCATTAAATTATACAGAACTCTTACACCGGTCAATATGACCAGGATTCGAATGCTAGCGACATAGTCCTCAGTTACTCTATGAGTATTTAAAAAATTGAAAAAGTTTTACATGGATTCCATTTGTTCGGTTAATTCTAAAATTGGACTCTCCCTTAGTGGCAGTAGTGGAGGCCATACAGTCGAGTGGTTTGCAGGAAATTGAGGTCCCTGCAAATAGTAAATAAGTAAATTAAAAAAGCAATTACATACTCGAAAGCTTAGTGATATTAACTTTAAGTGTTTTTACTCTTAGAAACAGTCAAAACTAGTATCCTAGCAATAAAAGAATACAAAACTTTAGGAACGTTCCTTGTGTATGCTGTAGGATCTCGTTCTAAGTTGTTCTGTTCTATTCGATCGATTGTTGAAAATTCCTTATTCATAAACGATAAAAGATAATCATTTTTTAATAGAACAGATGTTAACACATAATAATACGAGGAATAATACGAGCAAAATACCATACATAAAAGGATTATCAAAAAAACTTAAAAGGATAATAAATAAATTCAACATTTCAACAACATTCAAAACAACAAACACGTTGAGATCTATTTTGTCCAAAAACCCAACCTAACAATGAACAAGAAAGGACAAAGAATTGCATTTATAAAATACCTTGTGAATACGATTAGTTTTATTTAGGTGAAACATCAAGGGCATTAAATGTTAGAATAAGTGAACATCAATCTTATATTAAAAATAGAGAATTTGATAGATCTCAAATATGTAAACACGCATGGGATAATGAACATAGGGTTCAATGGAATAATTCAAATGTAGTCCTAAAAGAAACGGATGGTAAAAAAAGAAAAATCAAAGAAGCGGCTCTAATTATGCTAAATGAGGCCAGTTGTGTCGCAAATTCCTCGGTAGAATGTAGTAGGATCTGGTTACCAATATTGAAAAAGGAAGGTATTAATAAGAAAATACCAGTATTATTAAGTCAGTAACATATAGAGGATACATCATTTATGTTTTTTAAATAACGAATCATATAAAATCAGAATTTTCGTGTTTATTGAGGGTAAACTAAATGCACGAACAAATACTTACCACGTCAGGATAGATGAGGTTTTTTTCCTGGTTTTTCCCTCATAATTTACTATGGAATCACTAACAGGAAAATTTTACTGTCATCATGTCATGTGTTTGTCTTTTTAAAGATGAATTACATGCTATTATTTTTTTTTCTGACGGATATTTTCAAGTTAAAGTTAATTTCATGTAATCGAATGAACTATCTTATAAGTAAAGTCGTCCCAGGAGCGCAACTCAACAATATTGGCAATATCATCTTAAAGTCGTCTACTTTAAAATGCATAATGTATGTCTATAAGTCAGATAAAATTAAATTATTAGAAGAATTTTTCACTATGTAACAAAATTTGTTTAATTTACTGTTTGTATTTTGAGAATGATTTCCGAAGTGGAAATTGAAACGTCAATAAACGTATTTTTATCTTTAATTGTGGCTTATTTCCAGTTAAATAGTAATTATGTGCATTTAGTTTTAAAATACTTACTTTATTTGAACTTTTCCAAAAACTAATACGATAATAAAACAGTAAGCGGCTCTTGGTGAAAACCTACCCAGAATAGATCGGCAGCTAACGTGTTAAGGTGTAAGAAGTGGGTGTTAAACATGCAAAACACAAAAATAAAATGCAGAAAGTGAAATATTTATTAACCAAAATTATATAACAATCGCATAAAACTAATAACTGCAAAAATAAATAAAATAACACACTTTCGATGTAAACAAAGAAATTGTACAAGACTAGTGATAATACTTAAATACATTTTTTTGGTTTTTACCTAAAGAGAATCAAGTTCTAATAGAACACGATGAACTACAAGTATACAATATGTTTATAAAAGATGTAAAAACAAACAAGACGTTTTAGTATACAATACCAGTGGAAATAAGAGCTAGGTGTAAATGTGGTGTATAAATGTGTCTATTGTTTACTTACTGATATACTATCTTCTAATGGATACATATAAAATCAATATAATTGGTTTTTAATATATCAATTTTCTGTTACCAGTTTACCATAACAGTTTTTTAACTATGTCTTCTCAAACAATTAAAAATAATCCTTATCGGCATGTAAGTAATATTTATTTATTTAATTTTAGTTCGTTTTCCACGTAAGTTTTATTTATTCAATTTAAAGTCATATTTAATAATCACACACACATATATTTGGCATGATTGCTGTATATTATGTACCAGACAGTACCTTCATACGGGTTATTATATTTTCAGCATGTAGTTAACTCCGTACCATTGACCTGAAGATGCATAGTAAATTATAGAATGCGGAACAGGTCGTTGGTGGTAGAATAAATTGATTGTGAGTGTAACTCTTATTTCTTTAACTTCTACTTCTTTTTAAGTATTAGAAATGAACTCACACAGGCAACATATTCAAGATTTTAATATAAATATTAGTTCTGTTACTTTCACAATTACGCATTATTCAATTTGTTATGGAAAACTAATAGGAATAAACGGTGAAAGTTATCTAAAGTTTTTGAGTTAATAAGTTCTATAGATTTGGACTCTAATTTTAAGCAATCATCATGATCATCTTCATCAACGACGTAACAACTATTTGTGAGTGTCTACCGCGTTTACTATTGCGTTTGTCGGTCCTGTACCACTATTTCCCATTGTCTTACTTCTTTTTGTTCCAAATACTAACTGACCACATATTTCCACCTTTTTCTACGCTATTCTACAGATCTTTTTATTTTAAGTACTTACATAAAAGGAATCATTTAAAAAGAGTAATTGTTTGGTGGGAATCTGAACCTTTATTTTCGTCCCAACTATAACTGAAATGTTAGATCATTTCCCAATGATCTCCATTCCCCTATTCAAGAAGATAAACCATCTACCGAAAGACACTACAATCGATATTTATGTCAGGGTTAAATAATTCTGATAAGTTCTTTTAGAAGGATTTGTCTTTTGTCGTTAAATATACAACAGTTTTCGCAATTAACTAAACATTTTATCCACACCTCAATCACCGGAGCATTTTTTTGGAATATGCAAACAGCCAGTAACATGTTAGATCTGAAGAATACAGTGAGTGTGGAACCAATTGGAAGTTATTTAATGTAGGTGCTTTTATCATCTTTAAAAAAAATTATGCGAGAAAACGATACATCAAAATGATACAAGAAAAAACACCAGACTTAGAGAGAACCTACAACGAATAAAGAAAATGAGCCAAAATAATCATAAAATCAAAGAATAGAAAATACAATGAAGGTAAATTTAAAATGCATAGAAAAAAGCTTTAAAAATAGAGAAATTAGGAACTTATATCAAGGGGTAAAAAATGAAAAAAAGTTTTACCAAAAAACTTGTACACTATAAAAGAAAAAGAAGAGTTTTTAAATGAAATACCCACAACATAATATCAAGAAAAATTAAAGGAAAATACCGATCAAGAACGAACAAAGGAATGACCGCCTAATGAAAAAGAAATAATAACAGAATTAATAGAGAAACTAAAGAAAAATAAGGACCCAGGAAAGAATGAAGTAACAGCTGTGTTCAAATGTGGAAGAGCAATACTAATTAAGCATTTGGAAAAGTTGGTGATAGAAATATGGGAACGAGGACACATACCGAAAGAATGGACTGAAGTCATACTGTGCTCAATTAGCAAAAACGGCGACAAAAGTGTGTTACAATTACAAGGAAATATTTCTAGCATATCAAAGATGAGATATCCCAAAAATAGATAAAGATTAGACATAGGGAAATATAAATGTAGAAGAGGATGCAGCACAGTAGATCAAATTTTACTTGGATAACGTTTTCTTCTTTATTTGTGGTCTAGTTTTTAAAATTTCTTCCTTCAAACACACCAATTTATTCCCTTAAGTAATAAAAGCACAAAGTACTTTACGTATTTCAAAAGATGAAACCCAAAATCTTACTGTTTAATATTTGCGTATTTGGTTGCCTTGGACGGCTATCTTCTTCTGATATCCACTCAACTGATTCTCGATTTTACTTTGTAGACGAGTGGCGGCTCCACGTTCCATTTATTTACATATTTACGCACAAAACTGATGTTTACTGGGCTGAAACAATTGTGGAAAACAATTTGAATGTTATATTGTACTTTTGTTGATGAACGATGTTGCTTTCGATTGACTATAAGCAATCGACGTAAGTCCATTTTGAAACTAGCTTTCTCACTAAGAACTGTTCATTAAAAATTGTAAATAAACTGTCGTCTGATGTCTTTACTTACTTTGCTATCTTAAGGAACTTCAATTTACGATAAACCAAAGGATTTGCTGGAATTTTTTCATGTTTTCATGTAACGACTGTAGTTTAATTAATAATCAAATTGAGCTCATATTTTGACAGATGACAGTTGAATGTTGACGATATAAATCATAAGTGTATGTGTGACTTCTTTATTTCACTCCTACACTCATTGATTATACAAAGTTAAAAATCATTTATTTATAATGAATGAAATAAATATCTTTGACAAAAAAAAAACAAATAGATATATATTGAAGAATATAATTCGTATGTAAAAAAATATATAAAATATCGAAAATTTGTTGCGTATCGCAACATGGGTCTTGGCATCTTATATTACACACATATTGCGAAATGATTATCTTTTCGCTCATATTTGTTTCTTGAGACCAAGCTGCTTGATATGTTTCTTCTTGGAAGAATATATTTTCTTCCAAGAAGGAATTATGACTGTCCCATATAAACGTATTTTAATTTAAATAACCGTCCGTTACATCTAGAATAAGTATAAGTAACTGTTTTAAAAATCTTAAAAACCCTTATATTGATTTTATTTTTATTCATACATAGTATCCATTCTATCTACGTAGTGTTACAACGTGATAAGAGAAGCAAACACTTTCGATTCTATTCATTAAGCATTCCTAATGCCTATAAAACTAAGCACTAATAAAAGTATTCAAAGGTATATGGCAGAAAGAAATGTTCATATAATTCCGTTTTTGCTTTCATTTTGTTTCATTTTTATTTTATATGTATCCCTTATTTTAGCATTCCTAGAAGAAATCTTCTATTCGCTCTACAAAAATACACTAGCGGCAGTAGTTGTAACCTTTTGCTGTAAGAAAGAGCTGCGTTTTGCTCATGGAGAAATCATGGATGTCCTATCTTTATGTCTAAAAGTTTATCGTAAACAAACTCGAAGACAGAAAGGCAGGTCACTTATCCGTGTTTTTGATTATGGAATGCACATACGTACAAAGGCGCCATATGCCTTTTATAGCATAATATAGAAACAATCGTGTCCCTGTTAACTCTATAAAAACCGTTAAAATCTTATTAGAAAGCAGAAATAATTTACTTATTAAAAACGAAGATCTCGAAGTAATAAAATATAAAATGGAGACTAATAGCCTTAAGATCTAGACAGCTTAGAACAAGACTGGTGGGAGAATTTGATAAGGGTAGACTGAACAAAACGGTAAAAATTATACAATTTAATAATAAAGTAAAACATTCTCCATGGCCTCTTTACTTATATTTATATCAAGAATGCAAAATACCCAAACGATAGCTACGATTCTGAGTGAAGATTATTCTGGTGTCATTCCGAAGAACCATCTACACAAAAGCAGTACTGCTTGCTACGTATGGATTCGTATCAAAGTTTTGAAAAATACTCCAGCACATCAGATTACCAAGGGCTCGATATAGCATAAAAAATCCACCTACAGATCAATCCTGTTGATTGTATATAATTATCTGGAATGAGTGAATTTTCCCCTTAGAAAAACTGAGAGTCGTTGGGGTTTAATATGCATAAAGACCAGTAGTATCATATACTAAAGTGTTTGCACAAGACAGGCCCAGAAACCCTCGAATATCAAGACAAGTACTAAAGATTTTCATATTGGTGGACGAAGAAGTAGAAGAAGAAATACATAAGAAGAGTCCAACATCATCGAAGATTTTAAATACCAAAAACGACACTGATAGATGGTGTACAAGAAGACCCAAGTTAAAGTACGAAAAATGATAGATACAAAGAAAAATTAAGTATGAGAACAAAAGTGTAACATGATAAATTCACATCTTTGAAAACGAAGAAGCATGGTAAAGAAGAAGACGATACAACTTCGAACTATATAGAATATACCAGGAACCAGATATCGTAAAACACATTAAGATAGGACGTCTAAGGTGGATATAGTTTGTAATGCGGATGGAACAGAATGACCCATCTAGAAAAACACTCCTTGATAGACCCATTGGTCAGAGAAAAAGAAGAAGACCCAAAACAAGGTTCTTTAATAACATCGATGACGACATGAGAAATATGGGAATACGTGCTTGGAATAAAACTAGCTGGTGCCTTAAACATACTGACAATATATTACGAATCAAACTATCTTATGCCAATAGGTGTGCTCCTTCCACCTTCGTAATAGAGACGCTTCCAGAAAACTGAACCTTCAATGGTGTAATAAAACCCTTGAACAGAGAATGACTTACGCTGACATTCAAACAACATTGTTTGAAACTAAAGGGCAAACTGACGGCCAAAAACAATATTGTCCGCAAGCTTGTAAACCAAAAATTGAGCGTCCATCCTTCCACGCTTCGCACATCTGCGCTTGACGTGGATGTCTGAGACCAACACTCATACATTGGATCCAAGAATGGTGTGGATCGTAGGACCTGATATTCGAATAGAAGTAGCTAGATAAATAAAACGAAAGGAACAAACTGTAGATCAGAAATCTATAAACTAGCAGTTGCAATGGGCAACAGTCTTCACCGAGAGAATTATTACAAACCACGTCTTGTAAACTTTATTCCTTTACTTCCTGCTACGACGACGAGACACGTGACTTTTCTCCTCAGCTAGTGCTGATATTATTTACAACTAAAGGTAAGTCTCTCTTTAGCGCTAATAATTTATTGTTCTTATATTTACATTCATATACATGTCATTTTTCACTGCTTTAATTAATTCTCTAGCTGAAACTTAAATCTGGCTCAAAGGACCACGAACTTTTTAAAACGATAAATAATATAATTGTTAAGCCAATTCGTCATAGATGATGATACAGCTGTGGAATACGTTACATCGAAATCGAAGAAGTAAGATTTCATGCTTTCAAATTATATAATGTCCTGTATTGAGACTGAAAATTAATATTTCTTGAACACTTTTTTTTCTTTTGGTGGCAGAAATTTTACACACATAGCATAGTGTAATCAAAATGTAACTGAGTTAAAAGGATAGTTTTGCATAATCTACGATTATAATTGTCCATACACGGTTACGTAAACTAAAAACTTTCATATCATTTTATTTAGAACAACTTAATTATTCTCTGACTGATAAGTAACTACAACCGTGATATGTCTGAATGTTGATGGCAATTATTAACAAAAGTATTAAAAAAAAAGTACAAAAACAATTAGTTTGGTTACTAATTAACTTTCAAATTCACGCAATGAAGGATTGTATTTGTTATGGTTTAACATGCTTTGAATCTAAATGAATTGTAGAGGATAGAGGTTGTATATTAATTTTGATCTTTGATTCTTGATTAACTAAGGACAATAATAAATATTTCTTTCCGCCTTTTAACCAAACAGTAAACAAACAGGGCTCACTACAAACGTTGAGATACCTGATTCCAAGTAGCACTCGTTGCTTGCCAAGACGGCGTTGGCAGTGAAACTGGTTCGGAAAGTTGACAGTTATTAGGAACGTTCCAAGACTCTCCAGCGCCTTCAACAAGTGCCTGGAAAGCCAATAGATCTTTGCTTTCGGATTCTGACAAGGGGAGAGGAGGCAAGACTGGTTGTTGCTGAGCTATCTTGTAACTAGCTTGGCGCAGCATTTGCCGTCTAGACAGCGAGTGGGTGGTTTCTAGGGACGTCACTGGCGTTGACTGGTGGGATAGAGCGCACTGTTTTTGGAGAATTTGCCGTTTTTGTTGGAGCAACCTAAAAAGAATAAAATATCCAATTATATACTTGCCAAGTAATAGCGCGAAAGCAGTATTTTTTAGATCTTTATGGTGCCAGAGTAACTTATATTTAAATAATAAGATTAATTGTTATATTTAACAGTTTATTTATATAATTTAAACTTTGAACAGTCGAAATTTAGGCCAGAAAAATTATGCACTCGACAAATATTTCCACAGACTTAATAAGAGAAAAAGTATTTCTAAAACAAACATATAACTTGAGTCGTACTAAAAGGTCGTGTAATACACGGGGAAACTATTACCTTAAACTAAGTTTGGAAAGGTCCTTCAAAACACCAGTGCCATATAGGACAAAAATTCGCCATCAGAAACACTTTACTAAGAAAATTTTCTGAAAGCAATTGATAGTCGCTTGAACCTATTCCACTTAACCTTTTAATAAACAGCTGAGGTTTCTCACCATCCAAAGAATGCAGAACAACTACTAAACATATAAAAAAATTAAACGAAGCTCAATGAATGCTACCCATTCTAAAACGCAAAACTCAACCACTCGAGGTGGTTCCACGTCAAGAAGAGAGTTCCTCAGATAGTAGTCTAGAGTGTAAAACCGAGAATAAAATGGAGCCAACAATGTATATTAAAATTCGATTATTTATTGTAAATATAATTCAATAAAACCTTGATAAAAATGGTTTGTCTATATTTGATTTACATATATGATAAACTGAAGACATACCTGTGTTGCATAGCTGTTTGGAGTTGCACTGACTCAACACCGGGGTTTGTGTAGTTAAAATTGTCTGGCAGACTGATCCTTTTGTTGGGTCTGGGTTGCAAATATTGATTCTGTCTAGGCGACACATCTTCGGGGGTCTCTCTTACTGGTACTGGATACTGGGGTTGCAGTCTTTGATTCTCGCGTTGAACTAGGTGCATGTCCAACACACCTAAAAAAGAGTAAATACTTTATAAGTAAACAAAATTATACAATCAAACGAAATCAATTACATTAAAACATGATGGAGTCAGATAGGTTATAATAAATTAGAAATCGGTGATGAGATAACAGAATGCCTTTGTGTAGGGGTTTAAGTTAAATATAGTTAAATTAAAAGTTAAAGTTAAAGAAGCCGCAGGCTTATATAAACCTAGAAGAGTTGGGTGTTTGGCAGATAACCAAGGCAAACCACTATTAACTGTGGAAGAAAAACTAGACACTTGGAAGAATTATGTGAAAGTAACTTTTGCAGGTGAAAGGCTGACTACCATTGAAGACACTGAATGCCAAACAGGACCACCGATTACCATTGAAGAAGTCACGTCAGCTATTAAAAGAACTAAAGATGGTAAAGCGGTAGGGCCTGACGAGTTTTGTGCAGAATTTCTTAACCTTATGGATGAACAGGAAATAAAACGGATAACAACTGTATTCAACAACATATACGTAACTGGAAAAATACCACAAAGCTGGTTAAAGTCGACCTTCGTGACCATACCAAAAAAGTAAATGCCAAGACATGAGAAGACTACAGAACAATTAGCCTAATGAGCCACTTACTTAAAACGTTCTTGAAAGTGATACACGGCAGAATATATAAAAAATGCGAAGAACAAGTATCATGGACGCAGTTTGGATTCCGCGATTCCTTAGGCACCCGAGAGGCTCTATTCGCTGTCCAAGTGCTTATGCAAAGATGCAGGAATGTTAACTGCGATGTGTATATTTGTTTTATCGACTACAAAAAGGCATTTGATAGAGTAAAACATGATAAACTTATAAACATCTTGAAAGAAGTGGGGTTAGATGATAGGGACTTGAGAATCATCTATAATTTATATTACAACCAAACAGCCAATATTAAAGTGGATGATCAATTGACAGAGGCAGTCTCCATAGATAGAGGAGTGAGGCAAGGATGCATTCTGTCCCCGGTGTTATTTAATATATACTCTGAATATATCTTCGAGCAAGCGCTGGGAGAACTACAAGAAGGCGTATTAGTCAACGGCATGCGTCTAAACAACATTAGATATGCCGACGACGCAGTAGTTTTTGCAGATAGTCTGGACGGTTTGCAAAGAATAATGTCGCGTATATCACATATAAGTAGAGAACACGGACTTGATCTTAATACGAAGAAAACAAAGTACATGGTAGTCAGTAAGCGCGAAATATTAAATACACAGTTTTTGGTTAACTAACATGCAATCGACAGAGTGGACAGCTACACACACCTTGGTACCAACATTAACAGCCAATGGGATCACTCCAGTGAAATAAAACAACGCATAGGAAAAGCGAGATCAGCGTTCATAATGATGAAGTTTCTTTTCAGAAGTCATGATTTACCACTTGCTACCAAAATCTCTCTCATTAGATGCTATGTATTCTCTACCTTATTATACGGAGTAGAGGCCTGGACACTTTCCGAAGCTTCCTTAAGAAAACTCGAGGCATTAGAGATGTGGTGTTACAGACGTATCTTAAGAATTGCATGGGTGGATCGTGTGACTAATGTTGAGGTCCTACGTAGAATAAGCAAGGAATGCGAGATTATTAACACCATCAAAGAGCGTAAACTAGAATATCTTGGCCATGTTATGAGGAATGAACAGAGATACGGCTTGTTGCAACTCATTCTTCAGGGCAAGGTATTTGGAAAGAGAGGACCAGGGAGAAGAAGAATATCTTGGCTTCAAAACCTGAGAAAGTGGTTTAATACATCGACAACTGGACTATTCAGAATAGCAGCAAGCAAAGTTAGGATAGCCATGTTGACGCCACATCCGGAACGGATAGCACGTAGAAGAAGAAGAAGAAGATAGTTAAATAAGTGTAATAATAAAAAACAAAATCACTTAAACTAAACTATACTGTTGAAGAGAAAACACATGTATGGTACTAATATAACGAGAAACTTAAGATACTTGTATTAACGTTGTTGTGAGAATGATGACTGTTGACCTTCTTCTGTCCCTTTAGGGGATGCATGTAAATGCGGTCAGAAAAAAATCGACAGTCATCATAACTAACTGACGGTGTATACGAGGTTGCTCGAAAGTTTTAACACTATGTGCAAAAGTAGATAAAATAGGGCATTTGTTTACTAACCTTTGGCCTTGCGTTTTTCAGTAAACTTTTGTGAATTAAAAGCCACCACTCTAGTAGTGTCTGCTACTTGTTGAGCGACGAGTCCATCACTAGCTCGTCTACCCTCTCGAAAATCCACTGGCGATCTGGTTATTCCCCTTGTTGTCTTGAAGCTGGACATATGCGACAGGGGATTATGCTTGTGAAAAACCGGCCTCGATGTGAGCGAATAGTGAGTTGAAAGGACGCTGGCCGAACTCAATACCGGCTCGGGTTTCTTCTCGGTGGAAGTGCAACTGGGTAAACTGCTAGCTAGTTCACTGGATTCGGACAGCGGATATTCTAGGCTTTCGAAGTTGCTATCACAGCTTAAGTTTTGGCTGAGACTCTTGGATGCGTTGAAGTTGGTCATGACGCCACTTGAAGAATTTGAGGAGGTATAGCTTAGGCGCGGAGGGTGGTCTTCGAGATCTGTTTCGACACCTTCGTCGGTAGAGCTGGAGTATTGAGTTTGAATTTCTGCACTTTTGTAACTGAAAGTAAATACTTTTATAATTATTAAAGCAAGTTTTGTATCTAGTTCAGAAAAGCGATATATTTAAAGTAAATAATGATTCATAGTGACATTAACGGATAGATATGTAGTTACTTAAAATTATTTATACCTCAATGCCCATCAAATCAACGACAATATTATTCATAATTAACTTCTGTTACCTAATATTGTATGAGTAATGTATACATTTCATTTGGTTAATTTAATACTACTAAGTGTGATGTCAAGTTAAGTTAGCATTTAACTAATTTTAAAAAGAACTATAAGATATTTATTAAGATGTTCATATTAAATTATAAAATGAAATACTAAAATAAAATGAATAGTAATAGTTAATGTAAAGACAAATCATTATAAAGAAAATATTAAAATCAACAAACTATTACGTTCCATATAACGTAACAGCTTCTTTATTTTACATTTCACTAACTTTCTTTTGATTTTTCTCTCTTCCCATTTTCTAAATAGTTTATATCAATATAACGAGCCTTTATTTATGTTTATTGTTTTGTTTTTATATAAAAACCAAAATAATAGGCGCTCAAATTCTTTTTTTTTTAATTTCTGACTTGCCTATTACATTTTCGTGCCCCACGTTGGGCGCCAATCTGTAAGGTTTTAACTAGGTAGTTTATAGCATTTTGAAATCCACGATTGACTTAGGATCATGTGAAGGTCAACCTTAGTTAAAGTATTTCTTTTTCATCAGCACGAAGACAATTATGCATATCCTTACTCAAGCACATCCCTAGCAATTATGCATAGCTCTTCTCGGAGATAGTTAGGCCAATCTCTAAGGCAAACAATAGCAGCAAGGGAGATCAAAGCAAAACACAAAATTTACACAAACATATATTTTTTTAATAAATAGATCTGCGGTCTTCCTGGAATGGCTCGTGGATGAAAAATTACTGGGTAAGTTAAGTGTTTTGTTCGAACAATTTTTTTCTTTTATTGCTTACTATTGCATTCAGCCACTTTGTACAGGACTTACTGTAACGTAGATGCATGTCTATTTATTTAAGTAAAATGTATGTTTGTATTTTGTGTTATGCTTTGATTTTCCTTTGATGGTTCTTGCTGCCATTGTTTGTTTTAGGGTTTACTCAAACTACCTCTGAGATACTTTAACTAAGGTTGATTTTCTCACTATCCTAAGTGGTATAACCCACGTGGTTAAAACCTTACACATTGGATCCGAACGTGGGGCACGAAAAGTTAGTAGACAAGAGAGAATTACCGATAGAAAATTAGAGAAATGTAAAATAAATAAGCTGTTACGTTATATAAAATGTAACAAAATAATATATCTGTGGGTGACGTAAAATGTCATATTCATTTTTTTAGTTAAAATTGGCAGAAAGTCAATTAAGGTTATGAGTTGTTTGCGTTTGTTTTCTTTGTTAAACATATAAAGTTTCTTTTAACACAATGATCTACATTTATTCTCCTCTAAGGACAAAATACAATAAACATCAGAAAAAAAATATAATAGGAAAATAATAGAACATTTATTACCACTTTTTTTTGAAGAAAACGAAAACAACATTTATTATTATTATTTTTTAGACTTACTTTGACGAAAACCTCCCTATGGATCCCTTGGTTTCCGGAATATCAAACGACGGCAGGCAGCTTCCAGTCTGTAAGTACGGCAATGCATGTCCCTGATGGCTATATTCCTTAAAAACCGAATTGTCAACAGATGGTGAGGGTATAGCGGACATCTGCAAAGTAGACATCAGTTTCGTGGCCTCACTACACATAGAAAACGTTGTTTTAGTACTAGCTTGATTTAATATCTTCAAAGCATCTTCACTGTTGGTGGCTGCTAACAACTTAGCTGCATCTATACCATGCGTGGGCGGAGAATCACAACTCCTGTTGGATTTGGAGCAAATTTTGCTATTGCTCGCGGTCGGTGTACCGCTGGAGTTCTGTAACAACCTTCTGCAGTCTTCGGTGGTACTGGCTCTGCAAATCTTCCTCATCGCTTGCTCAGCAACGTTGGACGGCCTTCGCCTTTGAGCTTCGCGGGCTCCCGTCTGATTGTCACCCCCTACCAGTTGGCTTCGTAGCTTGTCTAACAACAAGTAGTAGATGGCTGCATGGTGATCGTAGCTGCCAAGTCTAATCGACTAAAAATAAAGAAAACAGGTTATTACTATATAATATAGGCAATCATATTAGACATAAAAGTTACAGCAAAGCGGTGTGTGAGCAACATATCTACAACCGTAACATTTGTTACGGTTACCAATTGGTCAGAACTTTTCTCAGGTCAGGCCAACTAGTCATTGTCACTTAGTTAAGGACTTCAAAATTTTTTATTTGTTTTATTTTTGTCAGCGTTCAGTTCACTTTCTCTTATTAAAATTTGTAACATTGAAGCATGTTTAAAATTTCTTTAAATTATTTCCTTTAAAAAATTACTTTCACGCCGCCTGGGTCTATATATTTTACTAGGAGCTTTAAATAACCCAAAAACACCGAGCAATCTGTCATGCCTTTTTTTACAACGAAGTAGTTCACAGTATGTGCTCTGCTCTTTTTATCTGTCATTTGTTAAATAGAAACCCTTCCTGGTAACAAAGGAACCAGTGTCTATTGTCGAATACCCGGTTTACCTTCTCAAAAAAGCAGAGATGATGATTTTTGCTGAAATAATATATCTTGCCAAGAGAAAGTGTTTAGGTTACAAATATGACCACAATAGCCTTGTCATTTAAGTATCATTTTCGCGTGACACTCTTCGGCCAATACTCCCACTCGTTTTTTTATCCTTAGCTTGTCTAAGATCGGAACTCGAGATCATTTACGAGTTGGTTCCTATGGCAAGCGGTTTGTTTTTCATCATACAGCGGTAAGTGTATTTTCAGTTCACCCTTATCTATATATATTTACACAGTGCTCCCTACATTAACTAATTTTTTTTGGCAAACAGACGTCTTCCAATTCGAAGAAATGAAGTCACTTCTGTTTGCCGTTCGTCTCTACAATTCGCCTCTACAATTCGTCTCTAAAATTCGCCTCTACAATTCGTCTCTACAATTCGTCTCTACAATTCGTCTCGTACCATTCATCTCTACTATTCTTCTCTGATATTCGTCTCTGCTATTTACTACTACCTGTACTGCTGTTTCCCTTTCTTCCTTTTCGTCTGCCTAAATCAACTTGAGAGGTTGCAGATTGAAGATCGTAATTCTTTACCGTAACTGCAGTCCCAAGTACCTGTGGCAGCGTCCACACGTCAAGTACTTTTATTGAGAACGTTCTATAAAAGAACGTCACTACGTGTGCCACCTGTTGCCTGTTATATTGTAAGTACCTATATTAATATTAAAGTAGATACAATCATAATATTCCTTGTTGTTTTCTATTCTTATGCAATAACTTATCTCGTGTTAACTGTTCAGTAAAAATTGTTATAGTGCATTTACTTTAACTACTATACCTCAATATAACTTTGTTGAAAACTATTTGCCTTTTATTTTTTTTATGATAAAAATTTATATTTTGTGCATGGTGTATCTCTTTCAAGCATTATTATTGATATTACTATTTGATTTATAAACAGTATATATATATATATATATATATATATATATATATATATATATATATGTCGAAGTATTAAGTGTGTACTGCATAATCATAATAACTTTTCTCTCACGGTTTATGTTATTCTCAAGTGCTTATCTTAACTGTACCTAACCTTTCGTGTTGTCTTATGTTATATGTCTTAAGGTTTCCCTGTTCCTCTAAAAATAGGGTGGTGCCCAAATATTTGTCTTCTCTCTATCTTCTAACTTCTCTTCTCTTTATCTTCTAACTTCTCGTCCCTTTAATCTTCAGTACTTCAGAAAAGAGGGTACAACGTAAAAGCAAGGCGTTCAGATGCCAAATATTTTAATAAATTCTTATTTTTTCTCTATGACTTACACTTGTGTTCAACATGTTATATTGAGTATATTAACCTTGCATAGCAATATTAAGAAATGTCGTGGTTAAAAGTATATATTTGGAGCCCAACGTGGGGTTGCCCAATATTTAACCCCAATGTCTTTACACTTTTGGCACCAAACGCCGTTATAAAGAGAGACAAACAGCTCACTCTATTAAGAAAACTCAAGTTTATTTTAAAAAAAATAATCATATTTGTATTATTCATCGATGTGTTTGACCCGAAATTTATATTTAACAAAAAAAGATTGTATTACAAAGTTTTAGTGTTTGGAATAATTATATTTGCTAAATAAATTGGTATGTAAATTGATTTGACAATCAAGTTATATTGTTCGATTGATCGGCTGAACAAAAGAGAAAGTGAACAATTACGTTTGTCCTTCAATTACTTACACGAGAGACGTATTCTCAAGTAACAAGACGATTGCGTCAGATTAGCAGAAACCTAAAAGGATTATATAGATTTGCCTCCTTCGATGTGGCTAACCCGTTAATTCAGGGACATACTGATTTGCCGCCAGGGACGGGCCTAGCACCCGGACTGTATTGATTTAATGTACTCTAAACCTTGCTAATAAAAGATGCCCTTCTTTCATTAGCGCATATAGATAGATAGACGTTTTCATTTTGGACGTATTTTTTTCTGCTTCTACAACTTCTTTATTTGTCTCTTTTCACATCTGTTATGATTATTTCAAATCAAATTCGAATTTTTGGAGCACATTTTGGTTTTTCTGTTTAACGGGCGATAACGTTATTGTTAGGGTAGTTCTTTTATTGGATGTTGTCTATAAGTTAGTTTCATACGAACATTCAGGGTTTTCGGAAAGCAGAGAATAAAATTGTTTGTAGTATTATTAGTGAAAAGCATTTATACTTTATGTTAAATGAACTTTGAGTACTTAAAGAGAAAGAGGATAGTACTAGGATAGTAATTTCGACAGACTATATAGATTGTAATAGAATGGGAATTTCTAAAAACGACAACATAGCGAAATCTTCTGTTTTGACAGAAGATTTCGCTATGTTGTGGAAGACATGTATGAGGGAATAATAACTAATGTTAAGACGGGTATGAGACACACTGGAAAATTTCATGTGAAAGTAGGATTGCACCAGAGCTTGGTACTTCATCCTTATCATTAGTGTTAGATCAGATAACAGCTATACTTTTAGAGAATTAGGTAACCAGACTAACATTTCCTGGTACCAAAGGTATACCGATGATGCATTGTTGGTAGGAAATACTGAAAGGTATTTAGAATAAAAACTGGAACAGTGAAGATACGCTATTGAGAAAAAAATTTAGTAGGGCAAAAATGGAATATTTGGAATGTTCGTTTCAAAAAAAATCTATTATAAATAGTTTCAAGTTCTTGAGATCGGTATTATAGAGTAATAAGGAAATAGATAAAGATTTATGCATTAAAATTATAGTGGAATGAATTAAGTGAAAAGAAGCGAATGGTGTGTTGAAAGCTGTTGCTGAAGGGAACTAAATATAAAGTTACTTACCTCTCTTGTCTTAGATCCATCAATGCCTAAGCTTTGCATCAGCCTCAGAATTTGTTCGTTGGGTTGAGAATTAGAAAAGCTAATGGTAGGAGGTAGAATTGGAGGTACACCCATTTGCATCCACCGATGTTTCTTAATCTGTTGGATGCTGTACCTTTTGTTCGGTTCTAATACTAACATTTTTCGTATGAGAGATTCGCAGTCTAAAATAAAGAAAAGTTTTTAAAAATATTTTGCTTTATGTTTGAAGAGTACAATTTAATAAAGGTAGATAATACAATACTTGATTATAATTGCTTAATATGTTATTTTGGATGAGCTGATATGTTGTTGTTTTTCTAAGTCATGTTTATTGTAAGGAAATTGTTAAAGTACGTTAAACATTTTGAAGAAGATTAAATATATTAAATAATTCCCTAAGGGGAATAATCAGGGAAAGTTCCCAGAGTACATATATCACCGTTATCCAAAGCTGTTATATCCATCGAAAGAAACTCACTTAGGTGAGTTGATTCGATTGTATTGGTTAACTCTTACATTCATTCGTGACCAGCAATTGGTTTAATGTCGTTATCGGTTTGAACTCGGTAGCTGGTTCTCTTGTACTTTCATGGTAGCCATTTGCCTTTCTGTATGCAAAGCCCCGTTTTAAAAATATTTGGCTTCTTAAAAATATAAAAATAAAAGTTATGTGCCAAAAAATCTGATGTAGATAATATTAGTAATACATAATGCCAAATCGACCCAACAGTGCTTAGATACAATTAAGCAAACACTCTCCATTTATTTTGGACGACTAAGGAGATACAAAGTTAGTAACAACTGGAAAAATTCCCAACAAGGCAGTTTTGAGCACCTACTGAAAATGCGTTCTATCGGAAACTCAATTCCACTATAGAAAGTATTGATAAGTCTTACCCAAGTTAAGAATAAATTTATGAGTTTTGGGAGAACAAATCAACTATCCACACTAGCTTTTCTTAACACCAACGCTGTATGGATCGAGATATGATTAGAAACTATCAACACTACAGTCCTACTCTTAACGAAAACCCTTCACTTTTAAAGAGGTCTCAAATATTGTCAATAATTGGAAATCACCTGGACCAGAAGAAGTTCAAAACTACTAGCTAAAGAAGTTCTACAGTGTTCATGGGTGCTTACTAGCACTAATTAATCATGATGTTTCTAATCCGTAGAAGATACCATGATTCTTAATTCATGGAACAACTTATTTGACACCAAATGGCTTGTAAATATATAAAGTATGTAAAGCATATATAATGTCAGATTGGTAGACTAAAATTTACATACCTGGTGGAAACAATATCGAAACTAAAAATATTGCAATCAACCGGGTCTATCCCAAGGAGACTCGTTGAGTCTACTGTAGTTGTCTTTAGCGATCCACCTCTATCTCAGCTACTGAATTCAGCGCACATAGGTTTTAGCATCAAAATAACAATACTAGTGTGGCGAAGCTTAATCATATGTTATATACGAATTGTCACCACCAGGTCATATTGACTTAGATTCGATCAGATAGGTCAGATGCTAAAAACGTTAAAAACTTTCTCCAATGATACAAACACAAACACCCCTCACGAAAGCACAAAAACATCATTCTCGTAGTGCAGTCGAAAAAACGATATTATCACGTTGTTAAGAGGAAGAAGATTTAAATATTGAAATTAAAAAAAAAAGACTACTATTTCAAGAACTTATTTTCGGATGTAGGCTTAGACATCTACTTTACAGTGCGATTTGTGCAGTAGATGACGCAATACCTGGACAAAAATGCGCACCTGGATGGGTAAACCTCTACACTCTACACGGACGACATCCCAATGAAGTCATGACCCGTCTTGAATTCTGTTGTTTCATATAACTCGCCCTACACTACTACCCAATAATGAACTATTAAATGATCTCACAAATGTAAATATTGTATATTCTATATTGTCTTAACGATATTTGACTGCGTATCTATACCAAATCGTAAATAATCGTATTGAAAATATTTGTTTATCTTGTGGTATATTTTAAAATATGCCAAGAAAATCCAATATAACCCAAGAAAAGAAATAAATAACTTGTATAACAACGAAATTATATTAAAACTTTATATAATACTACAAAAATTGTTAAATTTTGTAGATTGAAGTCTAAACACATATTAAATCTTCTATGCAACAAACAAAACAACACTTTTTGCAACTTTTTCCATGTTGAATTTTCTTCTTTATGTGCCATCTCCGCGACGGAGATTGGCAACAGGCATGGGTATTATTCTGATCTTAGATGCTGCCGGTCTGAATAGTTCGACTGATGTGCATCCGTACATTCCCTAATTTACGCAACCATAAGATTATTCTCCTTCCTACACTTCCCTTGCCTTGGATTTTCCCTTGTAAAATTAAATGAAGTATGTTGTATCTTTCATTACGCATAACATGTCCCAGCATGTCCCAGTAACAGCAGATTATTTTGGGTTTTTGATATTCTCATAAATATACTTTTCTTGATGTTTATTGATAATCCATATTCTTCTTTATACCCAACTATCTTGTTCATTAGCTTTTGAAAGTCTTCTCCTTTTGGAGGTTGTCTGGTAATATGATAGTATCGTCCGCATATCTAATGTTGTTAATAGATGTTTCATTGACCTGGTGGTGACAATACACATCCCTGTCGCACTCCTCTTTTAATTTCAAACTCTTCTGACGTGTGTTAATTAATGAGTATGTGTGCCTGCTGTTTATAATATAGATTTGTTATAATTCGAAGGTCATTGTATTGTAATTGTTTTGCTTTGAGGACGTCCATTAGATCTTTGTGGCGAACTTTATCAAAAGCCTTGTTGTAATCTATGAAACAGACGTACATATCTTGGTTCACATGCAAGAATTTCTGGATTAGTACGTTGAATGCAAAGAGAGCTTCACGGGTACCTACGCCTCTACGGAATCCAAATTGAGTTTCTTTAATATCCATATCAAGTATTTAGTAAATGCGTTTATGGATGATCTTTAAAAACATTTTAAGTATGTGAGACATCAGGCTTACGGTGCGGTGGTCAGTGGATCCTCTAGAATTTTTTTTTTGGAAGACAAATACATTTTGAAGTCAATCATTCATTGGATATATCACCCGACTGATAAATTTCATTACAGAGCTTTAAGGAGATATCCGTGTACACATTTTCTATTATTTTAAGGATATCAATAGGCAGTTGATCCGGCCCAGGGGTTTTTCTGTTTCTGATGTTCTTTAGTGCATACAATATTTCTTCCTTTGTAATTTCTATAATCGTTTCTCTACTCTCGAAAGATATGTCCTGTAGTTTTCCTCTTTAGTCGTCGAAGAGCTCATCCATATATTCTTTCCATCGTTTTAGCTTCTCGTCAGTTGTTATCATAGTATTTTATTTTTATCTAAAAGAGTTGTGTTGTGGTTTCTTTTTTGCAGCCCTGCCATTTCTTTAACCTTTTTATGTAGGTTGAATAGGTCTTATTTGTGATACTTAAGGTGATGAATAAATAACTTTTTATAATGAGGTATACAAAAACAATACATATCTTTAAATCTTATTTAAATATCTAGTTAAAGATGAGATTGAGTGTTTCTGTTTACATTGCATCTTTTTTGTCGATTTGTTTTTATTTCCTGAAATGAAGTACTTCACTGGCTTCTTTTCTGCCTTTTTCCCATTTTTTTCCGTTTTTTCTGCATAATATTATAACTTCAAAAACAGTTCCTTCAAAATTCCTCAGTATTAAGGTAATACAATTGTTCCTACTTATACATCTCTTGAATTCGCTGAAAAGTTCAAAGACCTCAACGAATTTCACGTTATTCCTTTTCCCCCGATTCCCGTCCTGCGCTCGCCACAATATGAACACTTCCGAATATTCCAATCTTCTCCAAACTTTTCGGCACGACAAGCAGCGTTCATCGTTCCGTTAACGGCATTGTATCCAACCCCGCTGGAAAGAGGGGTTTACATTAGCCTCTTTGACGTCAGAAGTGCGTCATCGCTCCGACTGCCATGCTGTAGTTGATGGGACCGAAGCTCTCTGCTCGACTTTGACAATATTTGAACAAAATTCAACAAGGTTTATTTATTAGATAACACGTACAAGTTACTGATGAAAAGGGTCTTTGGATAAATATTCTGACGTGTGGTACAAACACGAAGAGTGCTATCATATATTTTTACAAAAAATATACAAAAAGATAAAAATATTATTTACTTGGTTAATGAATATGTAAATTACATACCACTAAAGCAATTATGACACCTAAATGATTTACAGATGTCTGGTTCAGAAATATATTAATTGAATAATTAACCTTGAACAGTGTTTCCTAAAGTGGGGATCGTGACCCCCTGGGGGGTCGCCATTAGGTACTAGGGGGGTCGCCGAACATTTCCAAAATAAGACAAAAGCACCACTTTGTTAGATCATGTATTTTTATTTTAACAACGACGTAAATAGAAATTAACAATTAATTATTAGACGAAATATAAAACTAAATAATAAAGTCCGTAAAAATAAAAGAGTAGAACAAAGTCAAATATTATAATCTTAATGAGAGCTATGCGCCTGTTTCTGTGAAACAAATCTTTCAAATCTAGGCTGTGTATTTGAGACACACACAATTATATCACTTTCAAGTACGAGACGATTTCTAACTCTTGTTTTAATGGCAGTCATAGACCAGAAACCTAACTCACACAAATATGATGTTACAAATGGAACCAAACATTTTACAGCTTCACTCGCCAACTGGGGGTATTCCTGCATCTTTAACATTCCATCACTTGATATTTCAATAAGTTTTTCTTTCATGTTTATTGGTATTTCAACTTGCTGAAAGAAATCGGCTAAAAACGGATTTAGTATCCATCTGCAACTGTCGTAACTCTTTTGAATTTCTTCGGGGAAATAATCACATAGATGTTGTTTTAAATTGAGCAAAGTAACATGCATGTCAGCAAAAGCTTGTTCAAAATTTGTAGCACTGTAATTGGATACATTTTCCATAATTTCCTGAAGGCACTGGAATGAATCGAGTTGTTTTTTGCTAAGTGAGGTCGACCATAAATCGATTTTTCTTAGAAACGCCTTTTCATATGGGGACTTCTCATCTTTTAAATACATCAAAAGCTCTGCTCTTTCCGTCGGCCAAAAACAAGACA